AGAAATATTATGTATAAAAATCATAATAATATCAGAAAGAATATATAAATAATATTTTTATCTGATTATTTAAAAGATACACAAACATTTGTGTTTATATACATATGTACATATTTAAAACAACATACACTTATTTTCACATATAGTATGTACTTACTTAACAATTTATATTTGCTGCTTCTGATGATATTGCTGCTGCTGCTATTTACAATTCAGTTCTGATTTCCAATGCTATAAAAATTAATGAAGTAATTATTTGCAAAATATTATTAAAAAATCACACAAAATGCATTCCCTTAACTTCTTGTTGAACAAGCACGAATCTTTTTGGGATTTTCTTTTGGCATTATTGACAATTATGTTTTCTCTTTCGCACTCATTCAAACAAATCAAGGAATGAAGGAAACTTTTTCATCGCAATTAGGTAAACAAAAAATAACCCGAAAACATTCGTTGATGTTAGTGCATAGAGACAAAATGTGTAGTTGTATTATGAGAGATATTTGAGAAAAGTGGTTAGCCGTGGTTGTCAGGGTATGTATTCATGAGTAAGTCAATTTACTAATACAATCCTACATATAACAAGTAAGGAAAGGCTAAGATCGGATGCAATCGAACATTTCATAATCTTGCAACTTACAAGAATTTAAGCCAGGGAAATACTTTAAGGTGTAATACGTCAACTCAAGGATCAGAATCCATCAATTTTGTATATATGTACATCTCCGATATATAACTAACACATTTGTTTTTTGCTAGGGTTTGTTAGAAAAACGAAAATAATTACACACATACTAAATAAATGTTCCCTGGGTTTCATTAAAAATATTTCAATATAATATTCCACATACGGTCACCAATCATAAGAGTAAAGTTAGCTGGTTGTCGAAAATCCTGATATTAATTATATATGAAGCATATATTAAGCTAACTCAAATATTGACCGATATATGCAGTATAAAGTCACCCGGAAAGTCAAAATGGTTCAGTTAGGTTTATGGGGGTGAAGGAAGTATTGACCCGATTTCTACTATAGTTACTATTTCCAGGACTCTCTCCAAAATTCGATTATATCGGCAAACCTTTTCAGTCAAAGTCAACTATAGAAACTGGTTTCTACATATTCAGTACCTACGGGCTTGAAAATTTTTGGTCGGATTTGGGCAATTTTTGATCATAAGCTGACATATTTAAAGACACTATACCTAGAAAATTGTATCTCGACATATTAATTACTTCTTGATTTGTGTACTGAAAAGTGAAAGAATCAAATAGAATTTATAATAGTGCTATATGGGAAGTAGGCGTGGTTGTAATCCGATTTCGCCCATGTTTTCACTGTGATACAGGAGTAAAAGAAAATGCCACGTACTAAATTTACTCAAAATCGGTCGGTCGGGTCCCGAGATATGTCACCTCAGTAAAAAGTGGGCGGTTCCACGGTCTTATTTTCGTACAGGCTCCCATATAACTCTGCTATACAATCTCGGAATTAAAATTTGACGTATCTGGCGTATTCAGCCATTAATTTACTACGCTGTTAGTAGTTTTTAAATGGACCGTTATACAGGAGTGAGCAGATTATCTTCCGATTTTGTCCATTTTCACATTGCCGGTAGGAGTTTTAAAGTTTGTAGGTAAGGTTTGCTGTTGTAGATTTAGTGTTTTTTCTTTTAATTCTTTGCCCACAGATATCCTTTTCTACTGCAATCCCCTGTGCCAAAGAGAGTTTCAGTTTTAATGCTTAGTAATTGCACTTCATATCATCAACAATCTCGTTCTTTTTTTACTAAGGAACGCGCATATCAAGCAAGTTACAGCTTGCACCGACGGACGGACGGACAGAAAGACAGGCACCTGGATTTCAATTCGCTTCGTCATACTGATTTTTTATTTATATATAACCATATATCAATCTCGATTAGTTTTAGATGAGACGTACAATCGTTAAGTGATCAAAACCGAATAAAACGCTATTTCGTTATGTGCCTATACCGCGTCCGAACCGCAGCACAGAAATTCGTAAAAATTCCGAAAATCTACGTCGATTTTGCAGTCTTAATACAAGGAGCGTTAAACTTTTTAAATCTAGCCCCCCTGGCGGCGCCATCTATATGTCGGCTGCGTTACAATCTGCTATCTTTACCGATTGTCCAGTGAGAATTTTATGACATTTCATAGAATGGAAGTGAAGTTATTGCGTTTTAAGTGTCAGCATGTTTGTGTTATCGATGCGAAAATGAGCTTCGAACAAAGAGTCAACATTAAATTTTGTTTTAAAATTGGTAAAACTTTTACCGAAACGTTTCAATTGATGAAATAAGTTTATGGCGATGATTACCTACACCGTAGCAGAGTGCATGAGTGATTTTAACGTTTCCAAAGCGTTCGTGAGGACATACATAAATGACGATCAACATGTGGGCCAATCAAAATTCATGATCTACGGAAATTCCATCGAAACTGTGCGTTAATTCATCAAAAATCAGCCGAAATCATCATTGAAATTCATGGAAATGGAATTGAACATCTCCAAAACATCGATTTATCGCATTTTGACCGAACATGTGAGCTTACGAAAGATGTGTGCGCGGTTTGTTCCGCCCAAATTGACTGACGACCACAAATTGCTCTCATCTATCGAAACTTGTGACTGTTTATTTGACCCAAAATCACATTTTAACAATTAACCGCTTCCCGTATTCACCTGATATCTCACCTTGCGACTTCTTCCTTTTCGGAGAAATGCATTTGCCCATGAAAGGAAAACGTTGTGCAGATATAGAGGTCATTCAAAAGGCTTGCACCGGCATACTGACGGCAATACCGGCCAACGAGTTAGAACACTCGTTCGACATGCTTTTGGACCGTGCAAAAAACTGTATTGAAGCAGAAGGAGACTATTTTGAATAAAATTAATTGATTTTGCCGGAAAAACCATTTGTTCCGCTTTTTTTTTTTCTAAGTCTTGTTTACTTTGGAACACACCTTGTATGTATATAAAAGAAAGACGTGATGATTACACAATTTTAAGCTCAAGAATGGCTTAAGACCAGGAGACGGACACTACTACAACGGTTTTGGCTAAAAGTCAAACAATTCTTATATAAAAAATTTTATATAAAATCATAAGCATGTGTTTAATATTCATAATATGTATTCAACAAAGAACTTCCATTAAATTTTGTGTGCGCAACCTTCAGAATGTTAGAAAACGCCTTCGGTGATAATTGCTTGTCGCGAGCATGTATTTTTGATTGGTACAAATTATTCAATCAGAAGTCGTTAATGACGAACCACGCCCAGTACGACCATCAGCATCATCAGTGATGATCAACACGTCAATAAAATGAAGGAATTGCTACTTGAGAAGCGATTATTAGCAGTCAGAGATTTTACTGGAATCGTTGGAATATCTTAAAGATCAATGGAAACTCTTTTGAAATATCATTTGGGCCTAAGAAAAGTGAAAGTCCGATTGGTTCCAAAAACAACCAATTTTTTCGAAAGAGAGCGTCAGGACTCCAGGAAAACTGTTTTGAGTCAATTAAAGATATTATGCGTGAATTGCTACGCGATTTGAAAGCTATTCCGGAAATTGACTTTAACAACTGTTTCGAGGATTGGAAAAAACTTTCGCGCAAGTGTATAGGGGCCAAGGGATCAACACAGATTTTGAAGAATAACTTAAAACGTTTGAAAGTATGAACCAAGTCTTATAGGAGTATTTAAATATTTATAGTTCAAAAACGGCCAAACCAATTTGGCTAAAAATTGATATGGGAGGTAGCTTAAACCTAGGACGGACATAGACTATTAAACATTTTATGTTAAAGTCGAAACAATTCACAAGAAAAATTGTGTATATAAATATATCGCGTATAGCATGTGTTCATTATTTACGCAAATATCTTTTTATTTTTTTTAAATTTCAAAAACCAAAACATCACACTGGGAACCGAAATTTTTGTTTACATACATATATATGTATATAAAAGTATATATGGGTTATACTGATTGTTGTTAATGAACAAGGCCGTTGTTTTTGAACACACCATGTGGAACCGGCAAGGCATTTATAATATCACAACAGAAAATCGCATTGACAGATGCATCGTCAGGCATTGCGGCTACTTTGTAGATGACGTTCAAAAAAAAATTAAGTCATAAATTGAGATGCGGTTCTCGACAACAATGTAACAGAGATTTGATGGCAGTACTAAATTCCACGCGAGCGTAGTCGCGGGTTGAGACCTAGTCTTTAATAAACAGATAGTGGGCCCAAATCGATTGCGAAATTTTCAATTAAAAAAAGTTCAGAAGTTCAAATTGTATTTTCCGATCGCAAAATAGGATTTTGAAGCCGAAAGTCATAATTAAAAATTGGTAAGATATTTGTAAATTGAAAAGTTGGAGTAACAAATAACACATAATTTTTCAACTCAAACGCTGAAATGGAAATTTCTAACTGAAGAACTTTAATTAAGAATAACTAAATGTAAATAACACAAAAAGTGCTAAACTGTCTCGATATCTTATTAAAACAATGCTTTAATTTTCAAAAAATAACCAAAGTGGTAAAACACTAAGTAAGCAATCGCGTAATAGTTAAAAAATCAAAAACACATATTTTAGTTCTCATTTCTGTAACCAGCATATCGTTTTAAGCTTTTTATTTCTTATTTATTTCGATTTGCCTTTATTTAATATTGATATTTTACAAAAGCAATGCTTTCCTTAAAAAAAAATAGGAAAAAATATAAACTAGGTATTAACATTTTTTGTTTTTTTTCTAACTGGTATTTAGTTTTATCGTATTTTATATTGACAATTAATTAAATCTTACAAAAAGAAACCAAAAAGTGTTTTCATGAACACTCCGATTTATGGCAAAGGATGAAACATGGAGACATCTTAAAGATCTGATTCGAATCGACACGATACAAGTTGAAAAAATTTTCCGAATTACCCAAAAAGTGAAGAGTCAGTCGGCATGGTTTTAGCCAGTGTTCTTATTTTTTGGAATTTATTTTCGTCAACTGCATCGAAAATGGTAAAAAAAAATCAATAAACGATACGCGTCATTGGATCCTTTAGACGTAGAAATGTATTAAATGTATATCTGACTTCATTTACTATTATTACTTTTTTTCTACTTATACCTATACCACTACTTACGGTTCATATCTAACAATTGGTTGCACTAGTTATGAGTAGTTTACTATTAATTTATTTTACTCAACATTGAGTACTCTGGGTTTGACATGAATTATTTACTTAGTTATGGTGGCATTGCTCCGACAGTTCGTACAAATTTATTTATAGTATGGTTACGTAAAAATAAAATGCACAAGAGCAAAATAATAATTAAAAAAAAATTTTCTGAAGTCGATTTATGTGAATTAATATTACAGAATGCACAACTACTCATACACGGAGAACCGTGAAATGAAAGAAAATCATTCATTCCCAGCATATTCAAAAAATAATTTTTTTGTTTTTATTCAATTTCATTGCATCGATGCCGCCCATCATATTCACAACTCATACCGACCTACACTCGAAACCTCCCCACTTCCTCGACATATAAACTATAAAACTTAAATCGGAATCCCTGCACAAAACTACTCACCGAAACATTGCAACAAAATAAAAATAAAAAACATTAAAATGAATACACCAAATGAAAATCAAAACAGGAGCTACAGCTGCATCTTGGTGTCTTGCAGCAGCATGCGGCATTGATTGGCGGCCCCAACGCTACTTCCTGCCATGTATGCCACAAATTGTTCTTGGGAGCTGATGCTTTAATGGAGCATATGAAGCATGCGCACAAGGAGAAGCCGGTACCAAGCGTTGGCAGTAAGTATAATTAGTTTTACAATTCTATATTTAAATATATGTATGTCCATTCAAAAGCAAATACTCAATAAAAACACCCTCAATGTAGGGGATAGGTCAAGTTTTCGCTCAAATTTATAAAAAAAAATTTAGACGCAAAGATGCATTGTTATGAGAAAAACACGTTAGCTCATTTTCCTTGAGATAGGTCACATATTGGTCGATATATGCGGTACAAAGTCACCGGAAGTTCGATTATCTTAATATTAGGTATATATTTTTGACATGCAGACGAAGTAATCGGTATCTAGGGGCTTGAATATGTTTGGTTGGATTTGAACAATTTTGGTCTTCATATGACATACATTAAAAGTATTATTCGTGCAAAATTTCATTGTGTTATATTAATTGCTTCTAAATTTTTGTACTGAAAAGTGAAAGAATCAAGTGAAATTTGAAATATCATTATCATATGACATAGTAATATAAAAATAATAATTTCACATTCAAAATTATGTCAAAATCAGCCTGTTAGGTGCCGAGATATGTGATTTCACCAAAATGCGGGCGGTGCCACGCCCATTGTCCAATTCTTACACCGACTCTCATAAAGCCCTCTCATACCATCTCGTAACTAAAATTTAATGTCTCTGGCGTATTTAATTATTGATTTATTGCGCTTTTAGTAGTTTTTAACAGTACCGTTATATGAGGGGTGAGCGGGCTTATCTTCCGATTTCATCCATTTTCACACTGTTGGTTGAAGTTCTTGTAATATTTGAGCCGTCCGAGTGTGGTTATTGTAGCTTTATTGGTTTAGGAGATATCTACATTAAACTTATTAGAAGGCGGGGCCACTCCCACTTTTTTTTTTAATTTTACCCACATGTGTCCATTGCTACTGCGATTCCCTGTGCCAAATACAGGTTTTATATCTTAATTTAGTAATTAGTTATGTTACTTTATTTGTTTTTATTTGTGGGAGTGGCAGTGGTCCGATTACGACCATATGTGAACTCGAATTTTTTTGTACTAAGGAACCCACATACCATAGTTTCATCATGATATCTAAATTTTTACTCAAGTTACAGCTTGCACAGACGGACGGTCGGACGGACGGCCAGTCACTCGGATTTAAACTTTTCGCGTCATCCTGATCCTGATTTATATATATTTTATATATCTGTCTCTATTAGTTTTAGGTGATACGTAAAACCGTTGGGTGAACAAAATTGTAATACTCTGTAGCAACTGGTTCTTCTTCTTCTTGATTGGCGTAGACACCACTTACGCGATTATAGCCGAGTTAACAACAGCGCGCCAGTCGTTTCTTCTTTTCGCTACGTGGCGCCAATTAGATATTCCAAGTGAAGCCAGGTCCTTC